AGGAGCCAGGGGACATGCTGCCCACACTTACCCTCTGGTTTGGAGGGGGAAGAACCAGCAAACTGTTGGTCCCTAATCTGTATCACACATGGCTAGCAACCTTGAAAAGGGACGTCTGTGTGGGAAAAATCAGCTATCCCTCTGCATTTCTGTAGGTGGAATGAAGTACCAAAGGAAATGCCCATACTGCCTTTCACTCTCAAAAAGCTGCAGAGGCACTCTGCAGACAAAAGCTGCAGTGTGTCACTCTGGTGTGAACAATCAAGGAAACTGCAGCTCCTTGCAGAAAAAGAGGGTGGTCTTTTCTGTTAACTTCATGATGATTCTGTTTAGGGAGATGGGGATATAAAGGAGGAGGGCTGTGTACCTGTATGTTTTAGCAGAGCTGCATCGCAGAGAGCCCTTTGAGCACATTGCGTTTTGAAAACAGTTCCCTGACCTTACAGTTTGCTGTCTTTATAACAGCTCATATGACATTGCCAAACTAGTTGCAAAAAGTCTGCCTGTGAACCTCATAGTCTGGAAAGCTGGATGTATGAAACGGCTGTCTGAAGATATGCCTTCCAAGACCCTTGGCCAGGCCAAGTTTTCTGTACTTAAGATTGCCGTTGCCACAAGAACAGCAGATGTTTGCACAGCAGACAAACAACATTGATGATAAAGCAAATTGACCTTTTTTGGAAGAAGCTATTTGAAGCACATTCCTAGGGCAATTTTTTATTTTCTTTTTTCTTTCTTTTCTTTTCTTTGACTGTGTCTTTCTTCATAAACCTGCTTGGCTATACGTTGAAATGTCTGTTGCTAGAGGTGATAAAAAAATTAAAGAGAAGGGTTTACAAACTTTTCCACTAACACCAACACTACAAATCATTACAACTAATCCAAACCTATTTTTGTCGGTTGTATTTTACTGAAGTAGTTATAATGATGTTTATTTTTCCAGTGTCCCTATGGGAACCCTGGAAGATTCCAAAATGTAATAATTAAAGAATGACAGGCCTTTCCTTACAATATAAAATGAGGAAGAGTTTTGCGGTTTAAACAGCTATGCTGTTGCTTGTTAACAAGATATTTTGCCTTGTACTCTAGCCAGGCCTGTAACGGTCAAAAAATGTTCAAGTCGAGAACTACATGTTTGTTTTCAATCAGTTGTTTTTCAAGTTAAAAGGCTTTAATGGCTTGTTTTAATTTATTTGGTAGTATTTGTCAGTAGTATTAATATTTGTATTAAATCACTTGGTGCTATACAGCTGAGGCTGTCCCAGTAAAGCGGTACATTTTGTCGTCACTTATTTTTCCAATTGCAAGACCTTTCTTTTACGGTATAAAAGATTAATTGAAAGTTTGGGGAATCTCTGTGAACCTGAGTAAAATACTTCTTTTAAAATTAGATTTTAAAAGTATATCTGTATTTTAATTGTATAATTAAATGTTTTGAATAAAATTATTACAAATTTGAAGTAAAAATACCAATAAAGTGAAAATCTGTGTCATATGGCTGCACCTTTACTATTTGGACCTAAAACCCAAAATTTTTTTAAGCATAAGCTGATGCTCCTGTGGTTGTAACAAATGTAACTCCTGGTAGAGAATTGATTCCTGGCATCTGAGGAATTTTAGAAAAACTGACTAAGTTCAGGCTTTGCAACCTCTGCGATTCTTGAAGGATTTCATCCGTTGTACCGCTAACATCAGTGGACGTGTGCTGTACTGCTGTGTGCTGTACTGCTTAACAGGAGAAACATAAGACCCTGCATTTTTGCACTGTTATTTTTCAGATGTGATTTACAATGCTAATTTAAGGACTGGGATAAAGAAGTTTTGTGGGGTTTTTTAGGTATTAAAAATACAGGTAGCTTGTGTCTTGACTCAGTTTATAAAATTGCTTTGCCGAATAGTAGGCAATAGGCTTTTGGACAAGGATTCTGTAGTGCCTTGAAGGCGTGTGTGTTAATATCAAAATTCTAAATTGAATGATGGGTTATATATATCAGTATTAGGGTTTGGGGTTTTTTCATTCATAACATTAGGAAGCCAAAATACTGAATTCTAGAAGAACCCAAATCGGATTTCTTACACGTGTCTAATTTCGTTGTTATTTAGCATCATTTGCTTTTGGACCTTTTGAAAACTAATTCCCATTTCTGTTTAGACACATTATTTTGAACAAATTGTTCTGCAATGGGATGCCTGTTACAACTCTTCACTGCAAATAAAGCTGTACTGATTCCATCAGCCTCTGTATAGATAGAAGTGGACATAGATGGGTCCCTGTACCATGAAAGCATCAGCTAAAAAGGTTTTTGTGGGCCATGTAAAAGGGCTACCCTATGTTGCGCTCTTTTTTTTTGTTTGTTTCTTGATCCAAGTATGTGATGGTCAATACCTTGTTTGTTAGAAAAATACTGTCTGTTTTTTGTGGATGTGAAACTGAGTGAAGTTTTTCGAGGTTACTTGTTTAGGACCATTGAGGAAGACTGCCTTTGAGCCAGAAATTGAACTTGGGTCTTCTGAGACCCATTCTAGTCCTGCGTACACCGGGTTATACAACGTTCTTTTATGGGCAACTTTTATGAATCATATTTATTGAAGATTCTGTTTTAGTAGTAGATTTTGTTTGTGTAAAGTATTAATTAAACATGATTTAAAAATAATTATTTTTTAAAGGAACTCCTTTTCCTGCTTAATTATTTAAAGTGGGGTTGGTTTGTTCTTTTTTTTCCCCAAAGTTTGTGTTATGTGGTTTTTGAGGTAGAGTTATCAGTAACTTGGATGTTTTGCATGCATGCAGAGAGCATGTATTAATGAACATGGACTGGTTAGTTGTAGTGCTAAATGGGGCTGAAAGAGGGGAACAGTCCTTCTGATACTCTTTCATTGCAAAGAACACTGGGGTTACCTGGCTGGAGAACAATACCTTATTTTGCTTACTGCTTTCAAAGATATTATAAAAGAGGGAAAAAAGGAGAGGGAAATGAAGCTTAACTTTATATACGTAGGGTTTTTCCACTGAATGTGTTAATAATGTCTTGAGTACAACTGTTCTCGCTTCCAGAAGCCAAGAATTAACTGTTAAGTGTCGTCTATCTTGAAGAAGTGGTCTCCAAAAATATTGCCAATATTGCCCTTCCAGTCATCATTCCATCAGCATTTTAGTTTTTCATTGAATACAATATTGTTTTGCTGTTTGGCAGAGAAATTAATATTGTCCAGAGTGAACTCCTCATTGTATTATACTTTGCTTTTGCAACCAGAGCTAACAACACATAGCACAGATGCACTGGATGTCTATGAACTCAAAAGACTGTAGAAAAATACAGTCAGCTTGACTTTCCTTTCCTTGTTCCTTTTCCTTAAAGAAAAGCAAAAGTAGGCTTACTTCATAAGCTTTCTCTCACAGCAGTTTTGGCTTAGTTCTTACTGGTCATTATTTCCAGCTTTAAACTTCTTTATATTGCATTAGGGAATATAGGTATATAAGCAAAATGGTCTGTCGTTTTCAGGGCTCTGATTACATCTATTTTATGTTACTGTCACCTTGTTGTTTGGTTTTTTGGTTTTGGTGTGGGTTTTTTTCTTGTTTGTTTTGATTTTTTTAATAATTGATATTTTCCTTTGTTTCAGCCAAACCTTTTACATCTAAAGTGAAACAGATGCGACTACATAAAGAAGATTTTGAAATCCTGAAGGTGATTGGTCGAGGAGCCTTTGGAGAGGTATGTATGTGAAGGAGGTGGAAGGAAGGGTTTGAATATGCTCTTGCAATTCTGCAGCACTGAGGAGGGACAGTTAATAGCAATATACTGATGTACAGGTTTTACATTATTTAGGCATAATGGATATTGTAGGCCCATGTAATGTTTGATGCAAGTACATTTTGATTTATACATTTTTTGGCAGCTCTTTTTAAGTCTTTTAAATTTTGAGAGAACGCAAGTTCACATGGATTAAAAGGCCATGTTTCAACTGTCTGATGATAAATCATTTGCTTGACTGTAATTCTTTCCAGTCAGCAGGTGGAGGCCAGCGAGTTGCTGATGGTATAAAGATCTAGCCAGTTCTAATCATCGTAATAACTAAATAGCCTGAAAGTAGTTTTCAGCAACTTCAATAGACAAATATTGATACTGACATTCTAAGAACACAGAGAAATCTCTCTATTCCTGTCACTTCATTTCTTATTTTTAATGAAAGTTTGAGTACTTTTCCTGTATTTCTTTTAAAGAGTTTAGCAAATGTTAGTTTCTTTTTCAGTTGTCACCTACTGCTATCGAACTATACAACTTTTTTGCTGCTTCTGATTAAGCCATCTTATTTGAAGTCATCAAACAAGGCTGTTGATCACTAGCTTATACACTAGGCATGTCAGATTATATAGGTTGAGGAAACTTGAATAAATAAACGTTACCTTTCTGCCCCTTCTTCTTAATTATACTAGGTGCATGTGCTTTGTTCTTCATGCAGGACACTGTATGTAGAAAGAGCAACCTAATGTAGAACAGTGCCTTGAATTTTTGATAGGTAGCCAAATATACTACAGGTAGGGATAGTATGTAAAGCTTCTGCAGAAGGTACTCCGTACTGCCTGAAAATACACGTGAACTGAAACCCAAAGTACAAGAAAAAGATTTTCTAAGCAAAGTCTTCATTGCTTTTGGAACTGGAAATGGCTTTTTTCTTTTTTCAATTCTCTTTGGTATGAGAGCATCTCTGGAGGCTCTATGGCATGTGACGGAGAAGTGTTGGTTTCAGGTTCACTTACATGTTTGCATCATGTGTGAAAATTAGTCTTTACTAGTCTGGTTATGCAAAAATAGACTTCTGTAGGTAGTATGTAAGGAACAGGAATTTCTGTGCTGGTATATGTCGCTACATACTCCGATGATGCCTACATGCAAATATCATCATTGGGCAACTGTAAAAATAACAATAAAAGAGTAGTATTTATTTAGCTACTTTTTGCTCCATCTGGAGTAATGCTGCTGAAGTTACTCATAGATAATTTATCTTTAGTCTGAACCTCTGCCACATGGAGATTGTTGCATTCTCTGTTTTGATGTAAACGCTTCTGCCTAAAACATCAGCTTTTCTCAGTGCTGCCATAGTAGTTGCAACTGAGTTCGTGTACAGATTGTATAAGACGTAAGAAAAATCACCAATGTGGGTGCTTTCTTGTCAGAAGAATCATATGTGAAACCTGTCTTATATTGTGTGTTTAAGAGCAGTAATTTTTGTCTGCTAAATCAGCATCAAACTCCACGGCAGCTAAACCACAAAAAAACTGTAGTTCTTTCTCAGGAAGCTTCTTTGTGGTGAATCATCCCACGAATAGTGAGAGCGTAACTTTCCCCATCCTCTTCTGGGGGCAGTCTGTGTAATCGGTTAGTTCTCCTCTTTTGGGAACAGTGTTTTTTTTCTAATTCCTTATCTGAGGAAGATAGCATGACTCTACTTAATTGTCAAAATCTTCACTAAGGGTAAAACTGAAGTTCTCTCAGTGAGGATGTTTGGGTTTGTATGTTGTTAAAGTAGGACTTACTAAATATTTGCAAGGATATATGTTAAATTTTCATACTAGCTTAAAGAAGACAAGTTTCAAGTCCTACACAGACATTTGTCTAAGAAAACAAGTTCTGTATGAAATTACTAGTTTTCCTTTAAAATAACCAGTAAATATCTGAGCAAGGATGAAAAAAGCACCACCAAATTTTACTGCTACTTATGCCACCAAAAACTGTATTAATACTAAATGGCAAAATACTTGTATGATTCAGTAGACTACAGTAGTTTACTGAGACAGATGAAGAAATCTGGAAGAATGTATTTTCTTTCCAGCAAACTATAAATGAGACCAAGGTTGCTCTAGGTTACTGGGAGGAGTAATTTTTGTCTCCTGAATCAACATAATTCTGAAATTCTGTAGACTACAAAGTTAGTGCAAGTTTTCTTTGGCATAGTCTCAGACTTGTTCTTATTTTGATTTTACGCTACTCAGTTTCTTCAATTTGCATAGTCAAGAAATATTTCCCTTTTTGTTTTTACAAGCTTGATGTAGACGAAAAGTAGTTTAAACTAGTTATTGCTTATAACTGTAAGAGTTCATTGTTCCTAGTTTTCTTTTTCCCCTTACCCTGCTTGCTGCCAGTCCGAGAATGCTTCCTTTTTGTCAAATTAATGACATGCTTCTTCCCTCTGCATGCATACATTTGCTTATTTAAAATTTTATGTAAGAGAGTTCTGTCTTTAGAAAACACAGATGTTTTGCTTGGAGGAGGAGGATTATCCTGGTAAAATTAATAATGTGGGCATCAAGTGTTTCATTGTGCTGTCTTCGGGCAGCATGGTTTGAAAAAATTAACAAACGATTCTAAAGAAGAAGACTTTAAACTTGGGAGTTGAAGAATGCTGCTAGGAAAGGTGGAGCAACGGGGCAACAGCTCTTAGCGGTGTCTCTCAGCAGTATAAAAGTGTGGCGTATTGAAGGTTCTAGCTAATACCGAAATTTTCAGTTCATTCTATTATTGTTCAAAAAAAAAGTTCAGGGCTTGCTTATGCAAGCAAATATTATGTCATTATGTTGTTGATATTTCAAAGATGATGAATTTTGTGGTTCTGAGAACTAGTTAGTTACTCCTAAATTTTGGCATCCGGTTACGAACCGTAACATTCCCTCTTCCTGTTTCTGGAGGGCTGCCTACTCTTGATGAACAAGAATACCAATACTGAGTTTTTAAAAAACAAAAACAAAACAAAACAAAACAAACCCCACAAAAAACAACCTCCCCCCAAAAAACCCCAAACCAACAAAACTTTTTCTCTCCCCCCCCTTTTTTTAATTTCAATAGCTTCTGTTTTAGCTTTTTTGTATAAGGCTGTTGCTTTTTAAGCAACGGAAATGTGCATACATGTACCTTAGAAACAAGTAGCCAAGTTTGGGGCAGAAGGTGTCTGACAGCATGCCAGACTGTACTGCTGTTTGTGGGAAATATGGAAAACTGTTGAAGAATGGGAAAAAAACCCGATCTGACTAAACCAAGATGTTTACATCAGCACATACCGATCATTTTTTGTTGGGCTGCTCACAGGAAAATATAAATTTAACACACACACACACACACACACACACCAACCTAGTAAAGTCAAATTTTAAGAAATTCCAGTAGCAAGACACTTCAGGATAACTAACTAGCCAGGAATGATTACCCTTTCTTCTGTCTTGACAGCTTCATTGGGGAAGGGGGAAGATCAAAACAGCACTCTGTGTGTGTTTGGGCCTCTGTATACATAGTATATACCTCTGTGTGTGTATGTAAACACTGCCTGGATCTGTAATCATGTTTCAGAATTTTTTGTTACAGTTAGAAACTGCATCAGACTGCTCATTGCTGAAGTGTCAGGTTTTTCTTTCACAGTCCTGAAATAAGCATTTTAGAATTTACTTTCATAAAGCGCTGAGACACCCCCCAAAAGATGCTGTGATTGCGGAAGAATGATGATGTTTGATCCTTTTTTGCGTGTGTGTGGTGGTTATTGATATGGAATAACATTAATGGCTTTCACAGACTAAAAGGCTGCTTCTGACTGATTGTAAATACAGCTGGTAAAGAGGAGTCTATTTTTGTTCTTTAGTCACCCTTCAATACAACTACACATTCACAGAAAGTACCAAGCCTTCGATCTTGTCATTGAAGCCCTGCGCTCCAGCTGTTAACCAGAGGCAGTGCTGCAGCTCTTTTGATCGTGTCCAAGTGAATGCTGTATAGGAGACTATAGATTTAGGCAGCTGTGCAATTAGCGTATGTCTTTCAGTAACCAGTCTTTTGCAGAATAACACAGCCTTTCGCTGAGCATGCTACAGGCAAGAAATGAAACCCTGAAGTTGGATGTGAAATACATGTACTATCTTATGCCTCTGGCTGCCTAGACTACAACGGTTAATGGTGGGGAAAAAACTTATTTTTCATGCTGGGCAGCAGCAGCAGTCTAGTCAGCTCTAGGACCAACCTTTAGGCTTCCCGACAACAATCGCAAAACCCTTAAAGGTCTTTAGGGCAGAATTACATTGTAGCTTCATACCACAGACTGCATCATGCAGAGGGGGTGCCTGTCATCCAAGATACGGTACAGTTTGAACGCTGTCTAGTGTCAATGTTAAGGCTTTCTCCTCCTGCCATTTCTCATTAGAAATCGGTACAGATATGGCTTATCAGAGTTTCAAGCTAGCTTTAGCTAGTAAAGTAGAAGGAGACTCAAGATTCAAATCCACATTGTGGGTTATATATCACTGCAGAGGATTCATTTTTCCCTCCTAAGGAAAATTGTGATGCTCGGTCTTGGGGTACCATGCACAGAAGAGTAGACATTCTTTACGAATTAAAATTAGATTATAGTCTAAAGTAACAATCTATTTTTGTGTTTCAAATCTGAAAGTACCTTGAGGGATCCCAAGTCTGGACGTGAACCTTAATTTTTATGCATGAAGTAACCTTTAAAAATTTCAGTTCATAAACTAGTTTAAACAAGTAGATACAGTACCTTTCTGTCTTCTCTCCTTTTTTTATCTCCCCCTGACTCCCACCCCTCCGTGACCTCAGAAGACAGCAGTGTCAAGAGCAGGGCCGATAATGCATTGCTGCCCATATGGGAGGTGACAGCTGCTTCGTCTATGAATCTATAGCTAAGCAAGAGGTACACTTTTAGATATGCTTTAGTTTAGACATCTGAGTATTGTAGTCCTTCAACCTGCGCTTTTGCCGTGTTCACGAAGCTGCTGCAGCTGATGACACTTTTGAAGATGGTTGGAAGAGGTTCGCGTGACACTTGCTTCAAACTGTCTGATCCTGTATTTTATTTTCTGTTATCGCTGTCTTCACACATAGCTTGTTTACTGATTATGAAAGAGGTGGTAGGGTTCAACCTTAGTATTTTTTTGTCACTGGCCTGCAGGATGAGGATGATGATAATCTGTGTGACAGCATGTTGGTTTGCAACCAGATGCACGCAGAAATAAACTTTTATCTCCTTGAGCCTTAAGATTTATTTGAAAGGGAAGAGGCAGAATGGGATAGTTGGCGAATGGTTGTTAAAATGTAGTGATTGTTGAACTTTTCTATGATTGGGATGGTCGTGTAGTGGTCTGGTCTAGTTCTGATCAGCAGCTCTGAATCTGTGGCAGATTCATGGCCATTTTGGGTAAGTGTCGTGGCACTTAGCTTTCTATACCCAGGGAAGCCTGAACTGTGAAAACATGTTTGTGTAAACTTCTTCCCTCCCTCTTTCCTAAAAATATGCCATGTTAGCTTTTATTATAGTTAAACAAAACTATAATATTCTCAGAAAAGGACTGTGTTGGTTGGCTTTGTTAATATATTATTACATAGGCCTATGGTATCTAACGTTTCAGAAGCAATGAGAGGGAGGGGAACTTCTGTTTCCTAAGTTTTACTTCTCTAGAAAATGTGGATTTCACCATTTCCCTGCCACTGACAACAGACATGATAAAGAGCTCGTTGAACTTGAGGTGGAAAAATGTGAAGTAATACTTTAGTGTATCTTTGAAGAAAGTCTAGTGCATTATTTGAAATGAGAGTGGAAGTTGTTTTGTGGCAAACCTACAGTCTAATTTGTGTCTGAAACCTAAAAGATATTGTTTATTTTGTTTTAGAAGCTACTACATTGTTGTCTTTTCTTGGTGGTTCTGTAATTTAAATTATTGCGTAGGACTGGAGTCCAAGAACATAAAGCATACAGCCAGTGATACCTTCATGACAGTATGATAGACAAGAAGTGTGATGGTGAGAAATACCATTGTTCATCTACAGTCACCTAGGAAAAATTGTACATAATGAAAGTGTTATACGTAATGAAAGCTTAAAATAGGCTTGCAACTTTCTCAAAATAAATATCCTGTACTGTTGTGATGTTACTCTTTCTCGATGACAATGTATGGTATTGTGTGGATAGTAAAGCTAAGTGTCCAGAATGCTGAAGAAAAAAACCTCCAAAACTGCAAGGTTTCATAAAAATGAAAACAATATGCGTTTTCATGTTCTAACTTATTTATCTTTCCTTTTATCTTCTCCAGGTTGCGGTAGTGAAACTGAAGAATGCAGATAAGGTTTTTGCCATGAAGATACTTAATAAGTGGGAGATGCTGAAGAGAGCTGAAGTAAGATTACAGTAATGTTTTCTATAATCATGCACCCTCTTACTCTGCTGAATTGTTACTTCGTCAGAAGTTTGTCAGAAGGGTTAAAATGGCATGGAATCTTGACTTAGGTGGGGCTGGATGTTTTAGACATTATACCTTTTTCTGTAATTGCCCAAGAATTACCGACTATACAAGCAATCTTTTAATGCATTTATTCCAGTTAGGAGTGTAGTCTTTAGCGAGTGTTTTCCGTGGTGAAAGGTAATTACTGAGCTATAACTCACCAAGCCTATTAGTTTATCAGTAGTTAGAACTTAGTCAAGGTCCAATTTGGTTGAAAAATCAGAAAGATAAAAGTTTCGAATTAATTTGAGTGCATGTTTCATAAAAATGTCCATCTGCAAAAATTTGTGACGAAGAGTTCCTCGTTAAAGCTTGAGTCCATTCTGTGTTCTGAAAAAGGTGAAACAGCTCTTTAACCAGCCCTGCTTTGCCTTGGGTTCCTACTTCTGTTATACAACTCCACTCTTCATAGAATCCTCAATACATTTCCCTGGATTCCTTTGGAAAGAAACTTATAAAATGCAGTCTACACCTGAAGACTTGTGTATTAATTTTAAACAGAACGCGTATCTAACTCTTTAAATTGCTTTGAAATTCTTCATCTATGCATGCTAAAAATAAACTGCCTAAAAAATAGACTCATGAAAATATAACTCAGTGTCTTACACATACAAAGTTGCTTTGCCCATTGGGTTTTCTTTAGTTTGGACATTACTAGCACTATCTTGGTGACTCTTCCAACTTGTCTGATCGAATTATCTCTAACTTGAGTTTTTATTTGAGTCTCCGACTTTGCTACTCTCAGACTGCCTTGCTTCAATTGCTTCCAAGTTTATTCTGATTTCCGCATTTATGTTTTAATTATATCTTGTTAGGAAATGAGATCAATGGGAAACCATCACACTTTTAAAAAAAAAAAAGTATCCAGATGAATTAAAGCCAATTTCTGATGTGTGCACATCCTGTAGCTTTTAATGAAAGTGTTATCACATTGAGAAGTATAAATGGCATGCAGATTGTGGTTAGACGTACACAATGTGTTTCCTCTTTATCCAGAAATTATTCAGATACTGAGCAATCTGGCATTAGTCTCGATATGAAGAGGTATTTCTCTCCAAGACAGATGTCATTACTGTAAGTTTTATTATTTCAGTGAAAAAGAAAAGACGAGAAATAAAGTTCCACTCTATTTTTAAATGTACCCTTTTAAAGTCAGTTTAAAAGCTATTTCTTTCCATTAAAATACAGTTATAAATAGGTTTGAAAGATTTTTCTCTATGCAAGGTATTAAAAATACTCTTCCCAAGGGTCCAGCTGAATTTCTGAAAGTCTGAACCATTAGCCTAAAAAGAATTACAGCTATGTTTTTCCATGTATTTGTAACCCATGGGTATACAGTGGAAAGAGAACCATCTGGAGTGAAAATGCATTACAAAGCATGACCTTCAACAACTGTAACCTGTCGTTTTTAAACCTAGCACTTGCTACTACTGCTAGGGAAAATGACCCGTTTTGGCTCTGTTAGCAATGTGCTGCACTAACACTGAAATACACAGGAAAATCATACAGTCCAAAAATGCAAGACAAGCATATAGGTAGGTGTATGCGTAAATGGCAGAAATAAGTTGTTCATATATCCCTGTATCAATTCTGTGGGAAGTGGGAGTCATTTGTAAAAGCAGAAAGGGAGTATGTACTCAAAAGAGGCTTGTGAATGCCAGATTAAGGTTGACGACTGCAAGCTCTGAGAGTAATTGTGTGCAAAAACTTTGTTACAATGAAATTATACAAGTTGTGAGGTCAGTGTTCTCTTTTGTATTATAAAGAGCATGTTTTCCAAATACTTGCCACTGTTGAAAAGTCAGAGATGTGTTGTAGAACTGGGGACATTACTGATAGAAGGAGTACCTGAAAGTGTGCGACAGCTTGCTGTTACACTCCCAGACCTGTTACCCTGAGTGTTGACAATCACTTACAGTTACATGTGTGTCACGGTGGTGCCAGATGAGGCTCAGGAGAGACCAGGACAGCATGGAAGCAGTCAGCACTCCTGGAAGGTGCTAACTCTGAACTGTAAGGACATGAGCACCAAAGAGCCAAGCAGCCCAAATTCTTTGCTGGTTGAAGGCCGCAATAACAGTATAGATATAACCAAAGCACTAAGTTGGCTTTGCTGTGACAGAGAGTTGGATTAGATGACCTCTGGAAGTCTCTGCTAACAATTCAAGGACGCTGTGCCTAGGGATGAAGAAGTGTAATGTTGAAATAATGAAAGGCACAAAAAAAGGCTTCATTAAAAAAAAAAAACAAACCTTAATTGAGCTATGTTACAGTAATTACAAGAACAACTGCTACCATTTTTTAAAAATTATTTTATTTATTTTTTGCCATGAATTAATGTAAAGCCCGTGAACCACTTAGACTCTTTGGCTGTTACTGTCTCAGCTGTGATCTAGTGTGGTAATAGCTGTTGCTGTCAGCTCTGGGTGTACTGCCTGGAGGTGGGTGTCTAGAGTGCTCAAGGAATATACGGTCTTTTGTTAAATCGTGGCAAAAACAAGTGGAATTATATAAACTCTCTGTAGTAACTAATCCTGTGAATTGTGTTTATAACAAGTAGAGAAACGACATGTCATTTATCCTTGTGAAAACAAGAGTTCACAGCATCTGTCTCTGAAATATGTCAAGAGTTTACAAACAAGGAAGGAAGAAAATCAAGCTGAATCATAGAACAGCTTTTCTTCATTCTGAAGATCATCCTTTCTCCTTCTCCCACCCCCAAGCCCATTTTTCATTTAGTAACCTTTAAGGATATTTGTTTAAAGTATGTTTTGTTATTTTCTCAAATTTCACTGATTTATCTCATGCATTGTGCTATGATTAAAGTATACCATCTTTCTTCTTCCTGATCTGCATTATTCTTACTTACTGTATTCACCAAAACAAGACTTGGTATGGTTTATTTGCTTGGAGGAGTGAGTTATTTTCTGCTTTGTTTTTACTGCATGTATTCTTGTGCATAGCTCAATCTAAAGTGATATTTCGCTTTTCATTCTTCACTCTCCAAATCTCACAGCCAACAACCACCATGTCAGAGTTCTGGTATTTGCCTGTTGTTTTTGGAAAAGAAATTGGAAAAGTAAAAAGAAAAGGCTTGATTTTTTTCCCTTCAATTTAATTGTCTCCTAAGATGGAAGAGACAGGATATGGTTCAAATTGATGAAACATCTTTGTGAAGTAGCAGAGTGTGCTGGAAGAGATTATGGTGTGTTGTTCTCTAACTCTCCATCTGCCTTCTAAATAGAGACCATACAATTATTATTCTTCCTTTTACACTATCTTTTAGACATTTTTCTGAACAGAATTGTATGTTGGCTTTGCTGTTTGGTACCTTTCGTTTTCTTGCGATATTCACTTCAGAACTCAGTCCCTTCAAAACGTTTATCGTATTTCTTCGCTATAGTTTATTTTTGGCTTCTTGTCTGTTTGGTCATTTTCCTCTCTCATTCTGCAAAGCTGCTTTTGCTGAGCTATTTTACTCGCTTCTTGGGGCAGGTTGCAAGATCTCCGTTGAATTAACTGCCGTGCTGCTTTCCAGTTGGTTATTTTCTTCACATTTTATCTTCTATTGTTTCATATGAACCCATGTTCTCCTTCTTCTCGTAGATATTCCTTAGCACTTCTTGACAGTTCTTGTTCCTCCTCTGTTCCGCTTGCTATGAAGGCACCTTTTGCCTTGTGTGTTTCTTTCCAGTATATTGAGGGGAGGTTCTCCTGGTTGTCTTATCAACAGCTTATATCTGGCAAGAGCAATATTCAATTCTGTCCTACTTTTCCTGAGCAAAAAGTGTGGAGAAAACCCCAACTGGTTAATGATTATCAAATTATGGCTACATGGAAGTTATTGGCAGCAACTTTCAAATGAAAAGAACCTTGTTTATGTGAAAATTCAAGTGTAAAATTAGGCTAACAGCATGATGAGCTAAAACAATGACACAAGACTCCAGATTCTAGTTCTTTCAACTCCTATTGTAGTTATATAATGCCATTATTGATTGTTTTCTTCAGTCTTGTATTGCTATTCTGTCATTATTGATACTTGCTTTCAATATCTATATGTACAAAAAAGATAAGATTTTGACTTGGGATTTTTAGACAGCGGGAAGCAGCAGCTTATTTCTCTCTTTGCATCACTTAACAATATAAAGAAGTACAACTCTTTAAATTTATAGAAGGTGAACTTTTCTGATACCTAGTTTTTCATAGATTTGGCATGTTTGGAGAGTGTAGTAAATGACTTTTTAACTGAGAGGCAGTTTTGAATTTTTTCCCCCAAAATATAATGTTAAAACCTAGTCAACTTGCAAAATGTGTTTCTTTATATATTTTACTTGAAGCCTATAATTATTTTTCTCCCCTTCAGACAGCCTGTTTTCGAGAAGAGAGAGATGTGTTAGTGAATGGAGATAACCAGTGGATCACAACATTACATTATGCATTCCAGGATGAAAACTATTTAGTGAGTGTTGCTTTTATGTATATATGGATGGAAATGCAGATTCTTAGTTGTGGTTTGAGAGAGAAACATAGTTTGTTTATTTGTTAGTTTTGTGTTCTGGACCGTACAGAGGATATCCATGTGAGGATATGTGATTTTGTGTGTAAGATTCTGAAGGGTGGAGAGTGGTCAGAAACTTTTAAAGTTTTGCTATAAATATCTCAGGAATGCAGCTTTGTTTTCTAAACCACTTCGCATTTGTTGATAAACCTTGGTCTATCTGCATCTTCTTTCTTATAATTCATCACTCCAGATTAACTGGATTCATAAAAATAAAAGTGCACTTACATAAATTTTCTATTTGACTTCAATTTTTGTGATTAACATTGCTGATTACTGTTTTACAGTTAGAAATAGGGAGTAGCCCCGTTTTGAAACAATAGTTCATTTTATTGGTCTTTGCTTTTTTGAGGACTTAAACCCAGTAAGATGTCGTAAAGCAATAAAATGTTCTTGCAGTATGGAAAAATGCCACTAAATATTCATAAATAAGAGTTGGAAGCTGTAATTGTAGATTAAAGTGTCTCTTTAATATTTAATATTATTTAGTTTTCAAGTATTTTGAAAGACTTGCAAAAAGAAGCTAATATGAGGAAAAAGTGCCAATTTTCTATGAAATCTTTCCCACTTAAAATATGTTTTGATTGTCATAAAGTTTTGGTAATATCTATGCCTGAAAAAGTAAAAAAACAACTGCACATTGATAGCTTTTGCTTATTTGGGTTTTATTGCTCTGTGCTTGGGATTCTATATCATTAGTAAGTTCTAACATTTTCTTAAAAATCTACTATGCAGTCATAATCTTTTTCCCCCCCAACAAGTCCAAGAAAAGAAGCGCTATTCATGGAATTCTTGTAGAATTGCAATGCTTTTTGCCATTATATTGCTTTCTGTTCTGTCAGCTCAGATACTTGGGGATCCATGGATTTTGGTGGAGTTTATATAGAAACAGGGCTCTGCATTTGTAAATCTAGCTGTTGGCTTAAATACCTCCTAGCCAGCTTCATGCTTTGTTAATGTGGACAGTAAAAATAATCTTGTGTTTGATGTAATTCTGATCTTACTGTTACCAGTATTTCAAAGAAAATATTATATATTCCTCAACAGCCTGCTAGAATTTGTTTTAATCTTGCCAGTTTCTTTACTTTCACGAAGCACAGAGCAGCTTCTGTTCTTTATCTTTGATAGTCTGCTATCAGGAGCTAGTTTTGCAGCCTGCTGGGGAAAATATCAGTAATACTGTTTTTCATCATTTTAGTGTGAATGTATCACTTGTTCTCTATGTGCTTTTTATTAAAATAAAATATAACAGAAGTGGCCTTCAAAACAAAAAAAACAAACCCTGTGTAGATTGAGCAGTAGATGTGGTTGAGCAGTGGATGTTGTTTACCTTGACTTTAGTAATGCCTTTGACACTGTGTGCCATAACATCATCATAGACAAGCTGAGTAAATATGCATTAGATAGGCAACAGTGAGGTAGACTGAAAACTGGCTGAACTACTGGGCCTAGGGGGTCGTGATCAGTGACACAAAGTTCAGCTGGAGGCCAGTCAATGGTGGTGTGCCCCAGGGCTCAATACTGGGGCCGACATCTTCATTAATGACCTGGACAATGGGATGGAGTGCACCCTCAGCAAGTTCGCAGATGATAAAAAAACAGGGGGAAGTGGCTGATAAGCCAGATGGCTGTGCCGTCGTTCAGATGGACCTCAACAGACTGGAGAACTGGGCAGAGAGAAATCTCATGAAGTTCAACGAAGGGAAATGCAATGTCCTGCATCTGGGGTGGAATAAAATAAACCCAGTACATGCTGGGGGCCAGCTGGCTGGAAAGCAGCTTTGCTTGAGGTCCTGGTAGATAACAAGCTGACCATAAGCCAGCAATGCACCCTCGCAGCAAAAAAGGCCAAGAGTGTTCTGGGCTGCAAGGAAAAGTGTTGCCAGCAGGTCAGTGGAGGTCCTTCTTCTCTGCTTAGCCCTGGTGCAGCTGCATCTGAAGTATTGCGTCCAGTTCTGGGCTTCCCAGTGCGAAAGAGAAATGGAGCTTGCACTCCAGTGCAAGGCCCAAAAGATTATTAAGGTACTGAAGCATCTTTCATGTAAGGAGAGGCTGAGAGAGCTGCGATTCTTCAGCCCAGATAAGTGAAGGGTTGCGGGGGTTATCGTCAATGTGTATAAATGCCTGGTGGGAGGGAATAAAGACGAGGGAGCCAGATTCCTTTCAGAAGTGCCTGGTGACAGGACAGGAGACAGTGGACACAAACTGAAACACATGGAATTTTGTCTGAACACAAGAAAACAGTTTTTTACTGTGAGGGCAGTCAAACACTGGAACATGTTACCTGGAGGAGTTGTGGAGTCTCTATCCTTAAAGATATTCAAAACCCAACTGGACACAATCCTCATCAGCCTGCTTTAGCTGACCCTACTTGAGCAGATGAGGTTGGAGTAGATGATCTCAAGAGGTCTCTTCCAACCTAAATGAGTCTGTGATTTAGGATTAAATGCCCATGTTAAATTTCCACTGGTTACTGGATTTTAATGTCTTTAAATCTGTGCTTTTTCTTTCTCTTGGGAGGATGGTGCTGTCGTACAGTAGTATTTTGAGAAGTATTTGAGACTTGAATAGATCTGGATGATTGTGTGCATTTAGAAAGCATTTTTAAAGCTTTTTAGAAAAAAACCCTTTTTTTTAAGGACATGGATTTTTGACATTGGATGGGCTGCTATGCATTGACTGAATTGTTTTATTAAAAATTTAGTTGTTAAACTTAGCTTTGATTCCTACGCATGTGTTTAACTTCAAGTGCACGACTTAATACTGTGAGTTACAGTTTAAATGTTGGCATATTTGAAGAGTTTAGGGTTTTCTTGTGATTAGGCTGCTGTGTTGCTCTTGCAAAATGAGAGGTGCAGAGTCCTGTGTTGTCAGAGCCAAAATTCCTTTATTTTTGGTATATGCAGTTACTGAGTTGTACTGCTTTTAAAAATGCCGAAAAATGAGTGCAGAGATCCTACATCAGCTATGAGAATCTTAAGAGTTTTTTTCAGTATACTTTCAAAGCAATAAGTTAAGCTCTTGCAGATCTCACTATATAGCATATCAGTTAATAATTATTATATTAAGTTCCAAAGGCTTAATGTATTTTCTGAAACTGTAAAACATGAGAAGCTAGTACTGTAGATCTTGTTTCAGAGGGAGCGTAGGAGCACCACTGAATAGAAGATATTTATCTTGTGTAAGACTTGTGAGCATAATTTAAGAAGTTTACTATTCATGTCACAAAGCAGCAGATGAAATTTTGATTGTCAGCACATTTAGAATTTTGTGGAAATGCATTCTGTACTTTCTTCATGCACTTGGAATCAATGAGGATGCTCAAGTTATTCTGTATCAAATTGTTAAAATCTTTGTTCATCACCTTTATTGTTATGGAAAGTACGAGGGAAAAGGAACTGGCATTAAGATTTCTGCCTGCCCCACATGGTCCTTATAGCTGGTATAATTTTGCAGAATTTTTTCTGCATATTTTAATTTCTTTTTCTGAAGGTAGGAAAGACTTGAACAAATGAGGACAACTAATTATAAAAAGGCCCTTTAGTTGCTTTACCAAAATGTTAAAGAATCAAATTGGGATACACATTATTGCATCTTTAGTATTTTCTGTTGTTTGTGATTCATTATATACTATTGTTAAGAGTCACTGCTTCAAATGTGGATATATGCTGCCTTCCTGGAAGCAGAGGTTGGAACTCTAGGCAAAAGCTTTCAGATACTATATGCTTCAGTGGGAAACTATTCTAATTAGTCTGTCCACAATGGTGTTTGTAAGGAATGTCATAGCAGGGAGCGTTAAATTCGATTGCTTAGAATTGGTTTGTTTGTTATAATTAGTTTGATCTTTTTTCTTTTTCCTATTTGCCCTTCCAGTTGCTGTTCCACAATTAAAACAAACTAAACTAAGATAAAAAGATATTAATAATGAATTCCCCACTTTTCTTAAGTTTACTTTGTCCGGTCATTTTGACCATGTTTCTAAAGGAAGTGGCATTTTGTTCTGTCATAATGTAGTAAAATGGAGAAAGGTTCTGATCTCTTTAAAATCCTTGCACCTGATTCAATGGCAAGCAGGTTTTATGTTTCATTAATAAATCAGAAATCGAGCGTATTTTTCCCTATCAGTTCAATTAAAGAAGGTGACACCTTCCACTGTATGTTGGCAGATCCTGTATTGTGTGCAATGTCAATGATATCTGGAATTGTACTGTGAGCCACTGGAAGTCTCTTACTTTTTGCCTCAACCTGAGTAGTCTAAAAACTTTATGCTCCAAAATCATTTGTTTAATGGGAAAAGAAGATGGTAGGAAAAAAGGGAAAGGGAAGCCTGGGAAATTAGGGTCCTTAAATGAGATCCCAAGTTAACACAATTGGTTTCGTTTTTATAGTTCTGTACTTTAATCCTTTGCTCCTTTTGCATTCTATTGAAGGGTATCGTTTTTATATGGGAATCCAGAGTGTCTAAATATTTTATGTTTGGTGATGTGGAAGTGGATGAAGCTGATACAGTAAGCCTCATGACAAAATAGTATTTGCGGAGGTATAAATATGAAACACGTTCAAGTAGGTTAAATATTAAAATGAGACTGAACCAGCTACTTCTTTTCAGAACATCTAAGCATCTTGGTTAGCTTTTTAATGTCCATAATAATTTTTGCAGTAAATTAATTTTTATGCTTAAATTAGTTTTTAGTCTCTGATTCACTCAATAAATTGTTCCCCCCCCCCTCCCCCCCGTGTTTTCTTATCATTCCCACTCCATAGTACCTGGTTATGGATTACTATGTTGGAGGAGACCTGCTTACGTTGCTCAGCAAGTTTGAGGACAGACTACCTGAAGATATGGCGCGTTTTTATTTGGCTGAAATGGTGATAGCTATTGATTCAGTTCATCAGTTACATTATGTTCACAGGTAAGTAATTTGAGCTCCAAATTCCTGTTGGAGTTATGGGGAGTTACTTGATGGAGTGAAAATAATTCCCATTAAAGAGTTTAAGCTAGTAGCAAGTATTTGCTGTAATAGTAAGCACGATAGAGCTGACCTGCCTACATCTTGTGGTTATTGAGAACTGTTGCTAACCTTGTACCATATGGTTGGAGACATGAATGAATATCTGAATGCACGTGATGAATCTTGCACACTGGCATGTTTCAAGGTTAATGATCCGTAATATAGAAAAGCAAAACTGGAAACCTCTTTGTGAAATATGATCAACTTTGAACAGGTTTATTGAAGGGTCAGATTCTGTTTCTCAATTAATTTGTTCAATCTATAGAGAAGTTGGAAAACACACCATTGTGTGGTCTGCTTTGGATTTTTTTCACCATTTTCTTTTGCACTTAATGAAGTTATCTTTCAAATGAAGTGAGGGCATTTTGTTAAATAAGTGGAAGTACTTAAACTGCGGTACTTTAACTTGGTATATAAAAAAAAATTCTTCTTTTGAACAGAATATATTGTTATTTGTGTCTAGCTTTTTTAGAGGCCATGATTGATTTTTCCACAAAACTAGTGTCATCTTTTCTTTTATGTATCATTCTCTGCTGAATTCCATGGTAGTTCTTGTATGCAGAGCAAAAGACTACCTTACAAGAGGCAGAATTTTCAAATGCACACAGTAGATGTACTTTGCTCTGACAGAAAACAGGAGGAAATCTCCCAGTTGTTTAAGCTGAATCATTAAGTTGGCAGAGTGAGCTTGTTTGATACATCCATCTATCACCCTTAATCAGAGTCTATACTGGCCATTCCTTCTTTTACTGTTCCCACTTGGCTGCTTCACTCCAGAAAACGTGGGTTTTTTTTTTTTGTCCAAAAGGTGTATTGCAGTTGGTTTTGGTTTGTAACTGGGTTGTGTTTTGTTTCCTTTGAGATTGTGGCTTTTCATGAAAGAGTGCTTTAAGGTGGGGTGGTGCTAAGCTGCCAATAGCTCTTCTGGAATATTTCGAAGTCTGCTAGTTTTGTTGAAGAACTGTGTCTACCTGCTAAAAAGAGCTCTTTGTGATAACGCTTTGTGGAAAAACCCAGGCAGAGTATTTTCCTTAAGCAGTTTTCTTGAATTTTGAAGATTTCAACTGTGTTATTTCTGAGAAACGGTTTGTTCATGTAGGACGTGATGTGAAAGGTTTTGGTATTCAGTTTAATTTGGATCTAACTTTTAAAAATGTGTTTGTGGGTAAACTGTTGAGACGCTATCTCCTGTTACCAGGTGGAGAGTACTTAATGTACTACATAAACTGGTGTACTTTCTCAATAGGTCTGCATATGTGGTAGTAACTCCTCTCAAAAGAACAGATGCCCACCGTTTCTACCTTTTCCTCCAAACAGATCAAAACCTTTGTAATTCAGCACTGTTAGTATGTAATATGCAGCAGATGTGATGTTTCCATCCTCAAATAGTTAGTGTCCCCAAGATGAAATAGGTGTTGATGTAAAATTTTGATAGACAATTCAGTACCGTTGCAGTTCAAAACAACACACTAATTATTATGTTTGCATATTTATTACTATGAATGTTTAACAATAAAAGTCCCTATATGTTCCCAGTCCTTTGTTGTTTGATTTGTGGCTTTGCCAGTGAGCTTCCCATGTTTACAAAGTTCTGAATGCCACTTTGGAATTTTATCGTGAATACTGTTGTAATACAATGCCTGTTTATAAGGGGATATTTTGCAAAGATTAAAAATGTAAAGAGCACTTGAGTATGTGTTAAATGATCAGCCTTTGAAATGAGACCCATTTCACTGTTAGTTTTATTAGGATATTTGCAACTGGCAAAGCAAAAGAAAGGAAAAGAAAACACATCATCTAAGTGCCACTAATGTTATTTTTCTGAAAGTTTAACTGTGGTGGCCACGTCCTTTTTGGGAGTGTGTTGCACACAGGAAAGGACATAGGAGAAGAAGGAGGAAAATACTACTAAAAGATGGATAATGTAACGGCTGTAGTAGCGGCATTTCAGATGAATAGCCAATATGCATCAGGATTTGATCTGAGTTGTAGCTAGTGAACTAGAAATCATGCTTTAGGCGTGTTTCATTCCAGGTTTTTTTCATACAATGAGATAGCAGATTGTTTTGGTTTGTTTCCTTTTAGTGCCCCAGTTCTTTCAGGATAGATTTTCACATTAACCATACATAGTGTTGTACTTCGATGATAATTTCTTTTTCTCTGAATGTTTTTGTACCTTTTAAAAACTCTATTTCTGTTTTTATTCTCGATGTGCCGCTCCTCTTTCTCTTTTCTGTCATTAATCACTTTTCCATTGTCAGTTAGTTTTGTTTGGGAGTGATACTGATTGCGGTGGTAGTTGCTGTGCAGACCAGTCCAATGTCAAATGCAAGTCACTTTCCTTTCCTAAAGTACTTTGGCCAAGGTTCTCAAACATCAACTACAAGCAACCTCAGCATTACTTAAATGAAATTGCTATGACTGTATTTCAGGTTTTGGAGTTCCAAATTTGAATGCCATTTCTGCACTAGCATTGTGGGATTACGGGATGAATTTATAGTGGGAAGGAGATCAAAATCTAGGTATTAGTAGAATTGTGCAGAGAAATTGCATGATGTTAGCGAAGCTGTCTCCTGATAACCTACTGAATTGAAGAAGGAGAAAAGTTGCTAGCTGAAAATAACATCAGTACTACTGTTTTTAGGATATTCTTAATTTTTTTTTCCTGTTTTTAATCCACTTTTTAGTTTAAATAAATATGTGATAGAATGTTTTTGAGATACCATCAATCAGAACATAAACCTTTGATAATATTTCATTTCTGATCAATTAATTTCTGTGAACAAATCATGTGGTATTTTACCTCATAGTTAAATGATGGCTCAGAATGTTAACAAAACGGCCTTTTCTTTGATGTGTATTTTAGCTTTTGCTATTGTTATAAATGCACCAGCTGTCCTGGTTTCAGCAGGGATAGAGTTAATTCCCTTCCTAGTAGCTGGTACAGTGCTGTGTTTTGGATTTAGGATGGGAACAAAATTGATAAGGCACCGATGTTTTAGTTGTTGCTAGGTAGTGCTTACACTGGCCAAGGACTTTCTAGTTTTCCATGCTCTACCAACTGAGAAGGCTGGAGGTGCACAAGAAGCTGGGAGGGGACACAGCCAAACTGGCCAGAGGGACATTCCATACCATGTGACGTCATGCTCAGTACATCAACTGGGGGAAGCTGGCCGGGGGGGCCGCTGCTCAGGGACTGGCTGGGCATCAGTCGGCGGGTGGTGAGCGATTGTACTGTGCATCACTTGCTTTGTGTATTATTACTATTATCATATTATTATCATTATAATTTTATTTCAATTATTAAACTGTTTTTATCTCAACCCACAAGTTTTTCTCACGTGCTTTTCCAATTCTCTCCCCCATCTCATCGGGAGGGGGGGAGTGAGCGAGCGGCTGCGTGGTGCTTAGTTGCCAACTGAGGTTAAACCATGACAGCACCAGCGCTGGCATTACCAAATGACCTTGACAGCTCCAAGACTAGCTTTAGAAAGAAAACTTCGTCTAAGTTAAGTATATGTGCAGGTGTTCACAATGAGGAAGAAGGTACACATGTGTATCTCACAAATGCATGACTTCCTTGGGAGTTTGTGTAAAGCTTATACCTACCCCTGATACCTTAAATTACTAATTTGTACTAATGAAGTGATGCTTGCTTGTAGGCCAAGGTTAAATATTGTCTTGTGCCAGTTTTCCGCAAACTGTAGTGTCATACAGAGTAAGATTTTACATTTATTAGGAATCAACATCAATTTGTGTTTTATAGATTTGTAGCACCTTTTTTTGGTTTTTGGCTGAAAAAAGCCTCTATATGCATTAATGTTAATTTCAGTTTCAAAGTTGTGTTGTTACTTAATTCCTCATGGTATATGTTAAAAGCTTGTATTTGCATGCATTATCAAATATCCAGGTGTGGGCTGGAGTAAAACTCTATCGACTTAAGCTAGGTAGCTGTACTTATTTATGCGTGTTGCGTTACCTCAAACATGTACAATTTGTTTTTCCTACAGCTGAGACTTTAACACCTTAATTATTTTATTGGTGAGCCAGGTTTTCTCTCCATTTTATGTAAGGTGGAAACTGAGGTGTAAAATGCTTGGTTTTGTCTAAATCCTTTTAAGTAAAAAAGACTTTAGAAGGCCTGGTCGCCACTGGAAGAAATTTCCCCTGAACATTGCCAAAGATACCCTCTGGGCACATGCTAGTCCTAGGCACAGTGAGCGTGCCACGGGCGGCTTTGCATGCCCCTTCAGTGTCTCTGTGCTGCTGCCTTTTGTGCTGCCTTCTGAGACAGCCCTTACTTTAGTAAGGGTGCATCTAAGTCTGTCTCTGTCCTAAATTTCATTTGGGACATTCCAGCTTCTTGAATAGTACAGAATTATAAGTGTTAATATGCTTAAGTCATTTGCATCTTGACTTTCTTTCCTCCATCTCTTTGTTCTGTGCAGGGCTGCACAGTGATTCAGTGCAGAGCGAATGTGAAGCTAGGGAGTGTTCAACATTTAGGCTCATGATCCTCCAGACCACTGCAAAAATATTCATTTAAAATAGTTTTCATATATTGGCACACACCCATGTTAAACAGTCTTCTTTTTCTATTGAATGGTAAAACAATCCTCACTTACCTTCTTACTAAGAAAATATTTTGGAAGGATTATGAAACACCTATGTTAATTATTATTTTTGTTGGTTAAGTTAATGGGAGAATAGTTAAGACTACAGGGCAAGCTCTCAAGTTACATACATTTCAGATGTCATCTTTTGCACGTGAGAAGATAGGCATGCAAAGCATAAACACACCAACTTCCATAAGGTGGGAGATTACAGTTAGCTTGATCAGTGTGTTTCTGGATTTCTAGTTGCCGCTGTCTTTTAGTCTGTCTTTTAGTCTGAAGGATTTT